TTTTTTTTATTTATCATTATGATGATTATAATTTTTATTAATTTATTAATTATTTGCATACAAAAATGCAAAGCATTTTATTTAAAGGTTTTAGTTGGTCTGTAGGAATAATCATTTGCTTTACATTAAAACATTAGCATTAACAAATTAAACATAAACCATATAGCATGTCTCATTTAGAGCGCTAAGTTTTGCTTTACATTCAATGTGGTAATTCTCATATGAATACAAGCAGTTTTCCAATGATGTTTGATGTTTTGGTGGAAAATTTTGAGGTGAAGTGTATTTCCAGTCAAATGTTCCCGATATTCCATTGGAATGTTTCTGATGTTCCAGTGGAATGTTTGTGATGTTCTGCTAGAATTAACATTTCTGGAGCGTGTCAGAAGGCAAGTCTGCCAGACACACACACACACACACACACACATTCCTCCTGTATTCCCAGTGGTCTTGTTAGGTGGAGTCTGGGTTTAATTCTTGCCTAATTTAAAATAAGCAGCCTTTTAGTTTAGTGATGATGATCCTAAAACTTTTCAAACACGCACACACGGTGATCAAAGATGCACTCGCACACACACTGTCTTCATTGTCTAGACCACCCAGTGTGTGTGTGTGTGTGTGTATGTGTGAGGGGGTTACTTAGTTAGGGGAGCAAAATGCCTTCAAAAGTGAACTAAAGCCTTTTAGGGAACACCCATTAATTGAAAGATTGTTATAAAGTAGTTTTTTTTTTTATCACTTCAATCTTTCTACTTCAAGACGTCATGTTTAATTCAATGTGTTACTTGCAATTTCTTTGTAACTAATCATGTAATTTACTAGCAATTAAAAATTGTTTCTACACATTTAAAGTTTGAGTTAGTCTGTTGGAATAATTAATTTTTATTATTATTATTTTTTTTTATTATTAATTTTTTTTTTTCATTTGTTGTTTCCATGTAAGAGTGCTGAACATTTTCTTTTCAGGTTTGGGTTAAGCCTGTTGGAATAACAATTAATTTTATATAAAATTATTATTTATATAAAATTTATATAAAATTATTTTATGCATAATTATTTTATATAAAAACATTATAACTTTATGTTATGTCCTCATTTATATAGATAAATAAATGAGTGTAAATTAGTTTTTTTTATTTATCATTATGATGATTATAATTTTTATTAATTTATTAATTATTTGCATACAAAAATGCAAAGCATTTTATTTAAAGGTTTTAGTTGGTCTGTAGGAATAATCATTTGCTTTACATTAAAACATTAGCATTAACAAATTAAACATAAACCATATAGCATGTCTCATTTAGAGCGCTAAGTTTTGCTTTACATTCAATGTGGTAATTCTCATATGAATACAAGCAGTTTTCCAATGATGTTTGATGTTTTGGTGGAAAATTTTGAGGTGAAGTGTATTTCCAGTCAAATGTTCCCGATATTCCATTGGAATGTTTCTGATGTTCCAGTGGAATGTTTGTGATGTTCTGCTAGAATTAACATTTCTGGAGCGTGTCAGATGGCTGTCCAAAATCCTGTACGTTATCCCGCTTGTATTTTTCTCATTATTCCGCCCTCGTTTTTCTCAGTGTCAGAGGAAAACAGAAGGAGAGGCTGAAAAGAGAAGATGTTGTGACGGAATTTTCATCATCTCCTCTGTGACTGGTGTCGGAGCGAGCGGTCAGATCCAAAGAGGCTTTGTGTTGTTATCACGGTCTGCTGAGTGACACGTGTGCACACACACACACGCCGCGCCGCTGCAGGTGCAGGATCCTGGAATGTGTTTGAAATGATGTTCACCTGCAGGGGCCGTGAGAACCTGAGGGACTCAACAGAAACACGAACTCCACAGAGATCAAAGGTCAGAGGTCATCTTCCTGCTCTCATGTGAAATATCCAGTCTGGATATTGAGACACACACACATACTAGAGCATTTCAGTACAAATCTTGAACAGGTGCAGCGAGCGTCTCACAGTCAGGATATGAGGAGAAACTTTATGCGAAGGCCTGGATGCCGCTCTACGCAAGAACATGAAGTAAATACTTCTAGCGACGCAGACTTGATTTCATGCATCGTGTTCTGAAATGTGTCTGAATGCAATTCATAACAATGCAATGTTGCATTCTCAGTTTTTTTTATTCCAAAATGTATCAATATTACAACAAATGAAGCAAAACAAGAAACTTGTAGTACAAACTAAATATACAATTTTCAATGTTAAGATTGATGTATACATTAATGTAACATGCACATATACGTATTTCCATGCATCAAATCATTGAAAAATTATTTTGAGAAAGCACCAATGTAAAATCCAAGTCAAGGTTAGGCTGGTTAGACTTAGGTTTTGCCCCTGCTGGTGGATGTTAAAACTACACCATTATTCTTGCAATAAGCATATTTCTCAGTTGATGGTCATTCAAAAGTACCATGTGTTCTGACCTTATTGTTTATCACACAACTTTTAGATCACTGATTCATGGTTTTATAGTAAATGATTTTGGAGGCTCTTAAACTGTAAAATGGACTTTAAATATTTTTCCTGTTTGCTGTCTTAGACGTCACAGCTCAGGATAGTTACTTGTTGCATTTAGTAATGAAAAAAACTGAAACAAAGTACTGAAACAAAGCTTTTTGAAATCAGCTGAATCAACTGCTTCGCTCAAACACCACAGGATGACGTCAAAATGTGTAAACGCAACGAAAACTCAACTTTTACCTAGGGCATAGGTTTGATTTTGACATTGGTGAGACATAACAGCAGACAACACCCTCCTCCCCATCCAACTACCCCAACAACATTCACATTTATGGCAGACTTTTGACCACAGTTTCATGTCATCTAAAGTCTTTATTTATAGCTTTGGTAGCTAAAATACTCATAATTCATAAAGAGAGCTTTTTTTATGTTAGCAAATTAATCAGACAATAATAACACAATTTTGATTAAAACCAACAAGCTGCTCGCTAAATTTCACATACATAAACAAAAATCTGTCTCTAAACCCCTCTTTTCTTAAACTAAAAAAATACTATGGTAACCACATATTAACCATGGTTGTGCTAGTTTAACCATGGCATTTTTAGTAGAACTGTAAAGATACGCGATACGCACAAGTCCCGATCTGAATCAAATTATTCGTGATACGCGCTCCAAAGTTCCGATCTGAATCAAATTATTCGAGATAAGCGCTCCAAAGTTCCGATCTGAATCAAATGATTCGCGATACGCACTCCAAAGTTCTGATCTGAATCAAATGATTCGCGATACGCGCTCCAAAGTTCCGATCTGAATCAAATGATTTGCGATACGCGCTCCAAAGTTCTGATCTGAATTAAATGATTCGCAAAACGGGCTCCAAAGTTCCGATCTGAATCAAATGATTTGTGATACGCGCTCCAAAGTTCTGATCTGAATTAAATGATTCGCAAAACGGGCTCCAAAGTTCCGATCTGAATCAAATAAATCGAGATCCGCGTATCACAAATCTTTCACGTACTTCGGAGGGCTTATCGCTAATCTTTCAATTTGCGAAATGATTCACGAACCAGCTATGAAGTTCCGAAATGAATCAAAAGATTCGCGAACCTGCTCTGATGTTCTGGGATATCTTAGTTCACCCCAAAATGAAAATTCTGTCATTACTCACCCTCATGTCCTTCCAAACCGGTAAGACCTTCGTTAATAACATAATTTATTCAACAATTCTTCTCCCCGAGTTACCATCTTCCGCTATTTTGGAGAGTAGCACGACGCATGTGCGCACTTTCCCCAGAACGCAATCAACGTAATCAGCGTTGTTTACGTTCAGGAGAAAACGCGTGCATGCTGAACGTAAACAACGCTCAAATTATTCGCATTATTCGTGATACGCGATCTGATTTGAGTGCTTTGAATCAACAGTGAAGCCTGAAATCTCGTGACTCAGCGAGTTCAATACTACTGATTGAAAACAAAGGATTCGCAAATGTTTCGAAGCTTCGTAAAGCAGAGTTGACAGCGCTTCATCAGGTGCATACAGTAGAGATTTTTGGGCCTAAAGCATCAGACTCATGTTTGTACAGGTTCAGTGTGTGTGTGAAATCATAAAATGGGTTTAATTAGCTGATGAATCTCGCACACAAACACACGCAGCTGGTTTAATCAAACATATAAACACACATTCCTCACCTCACACACCTGACACCTCAGCTGCTGCTGCTCGCAGCCAAATTAACACACATACACACACATCATATCAAATTTTGATGTGTGTGTTCAGTGCGGGAAGACTGTATATTTACCATGAACTTCTATAAAAGAGTAAGACCTTCCACAGACCAGTGTTTTTAGTGTAGCCTATATACTGTACATTAAGTTAAGCTAAATGACAATGAGAACTGTTCTAGCTGAAATAAGAGCAGTTTTCATATTTCATCTCTGTTAATGTTTATATCATGTGACAAGAATGTTTCTAATGGTCTTAGTTTTAGTCACCCTCCATAAGACAACAGCAGATAGGCTAATAGTTTATCTGAATGCATTTAAAGACTTTTGTTATATTAGTGAGTCATAATTTTTCCAGTCAGTATTTTCTGTCGTAAAGTCCTTTGATTTTGGGTTTTGTTGGAACTGTGAATGTAATGTTTGTAGTTTAGCTGACCAAGCAATGGAGCAATAGCATTTGCTTTTGCCAAGATTTTGAACTGAAGTCCCAAAACAACAAAACTAATAACAAAACGTTTTATTATTTAGTTGGACCCGTGCAAACTTAGGCTTGGGTTTGTGATTTATATTAATATCATTACTATTGCTCTTCTTTTCAAAATGCATGCTGAGATTCCCGAGTCCTGAAGTTTTAGGTTTCTCTGAGTGTATTTTAGCACTAGTTCAAGACCTAGCTGGTAACCCAAAGGTTGCAGGTTCAAATCCTAGAAGAGTTATTAATCTTCTGTACGTCAGTGAGTGGTTAGTTGGTGTCTGGCGACCTCTTGAGGAGAAAGATGATTTGCTAGTTTCACGTTTGTGCATTAAATGTATTTATTGAGAATATGTTAACCCATATAGAGAATTTAGACATTTGTACAACATTGTGCAGATTTACATTCTCATTTCATGCTGTAAAACTAAATAGGAAAACAAAACAATCCTTAAAGCAGTTTACAATAGCGTAAATGATCTTCTGCATGTGTATGATACAGACAGAGGGTGTTAAGAGAAGAGTATCCATGTGCACATTCAATAGATCTTCATAAAGTTCCACTCTCCATTTTCAAATCCACCTTCATCTTCTGCTTCTCCATCACCGTCTCCAGCTCTGTGGCTCTGCGAGCGTCCTGAGAGACAGACAGGCATGCGGTTAGATGCTAAATGCATGCTCATCGCTGGCTGTCAAGATCAAATTGCTCGGTTTAATTTTTAAAAAAGGGTTTATTAGGTTGATTGTTGCATATTAAGTAAGGATATTAAAACTACCACTAGACTAACACATCTTACGCTTTAGTGTTAAAGCATTTTTAAGCAGGTCGTTAATGTACTACTGCAGAGGGATCCAGTGTTTCAAACTCTGCAGTATATACACTGTAAAATGGCAGCTATTTTTAAATACTAACTTTCTGATCATTTGTCAGTGTTTTAAAATATGAAATATGACAGCTTAGTCCCTCACACAATGTTTACCCAGCTGTTCTCGATCTCGACTGTAATATACAGAAAATAGTTGCACCAAATAGGATTGCAAAAATGATGACTGCATCAGGGTTAGTATTGTATGTTAACAAACTAAAACCAAAAACGAAACCATAAAAATGTGATACTTAAAAGATATATGAACTGAAATAAAATAAAACACAAAAGCTTTAAACAAAATATATCCAAAAAAGAAACTAAAAGAAAACACAATATTAAATGACAAAATTATTTCGGCTAGCTGTCAGCAGTTTTGTCATTTTCATTTGTTTCTACTAAAATAACAAAACTAATAAGCTAAACCTAATCATTTAAAATTAATATGTACTATATAGATAACTGATAAAGCAATAAAATGACAAAATAACTAATAAAAGTAACAACTAGTAAACCAATAACTAATAAAAATGACAACACATAACAAAGTTACTAAAATTAAACTAAATGAAAACAGAAAATTTACAAATAAAATCAAATTCAAAATATAAAAAAAACAAACAAACAATAATGTGTCATTGACTGCATGGATTTTAAAAGATCAATTATCACTGATTGGTATGTTTTAACCTTGAATTAAAGGCTTCTAGCTTCTAATCCTGTATAAAACACGTTTTTATTTTGTAATAAACCAAAATTATGCTGGGGATTTATGTTTATATTTTGTGTTGTAACATTTCAGAATATTTAGAGCACATTTGGATTCAGGAATTTTTCGATTTTTAAATGTAGAATTGAAATAAATTCAATTTTTTTCAAAATAAATTAAAATGTATTTTTTTAGATGTTTAGTTAGAATGATTCCGTAATCACATGCAGCTTCAAATAAAACAGCAGAGAAGTGAATGTACCTCTATCTGGGCTCTCTGGACCGTCAGCTGACTGTAGACTCTAGCGCCCTCTTCAGGAATAACAGCGCGCAGCTCTTCTTTATTCAGAGAGAACAGCTGAGCTCCGTTCAGAACCCGCAGACACTGTACAGTCCTGCACACACACCAACAACAGCCATTCATTGACCACAGCTATTGCATTATTATATACAGTATATGCACCTCAAACAGTGATCACAGAAATGTAAACTGAAACTTGTATATATTGCACTAAGAGAAAAAATGCATCATGGTAATCTGGTAAAATACTGTAGTTCATATAAAATCATACTAAGTGAATGTGGGATGTGGTTTTTCCGGTCGTCAGTGATGTGAGGTGTTACAGGTGGAGTATTATTAGTAATTGCTGTAAAGTGTTTCCTGTGTGAGACTCACGGTTCACTGAAGCCTTTCTTGCCCAGCCAGTTCTCCACCTCTGCGGGCGGGGAGTTGTAGTCCAGCGGGACAGACGTCTCTGCTGAACGAGGAATCACCAGACGAGGAGACAGATTCTTCCCGCTGGTCAAACGGTGCAGCAGCTCGTCATTCACCTGCATCACTGACACACAACCAGCAAATCAATCTCAGCACAAGATCAAAAACCTGCCCGTGAGCAACAGATGATATTATAGTCTTTAGGAATGTTTCGATTAGCTTGCAGCAGATTTCCAGCAGGGCTATTATTGTTATATGAAACTGAAACAAAAACCATAAAATGAAATAAGCATGAACCGAAATAAAATAAAATATAAAAACTATGAACTACAGAAATATTAAAACTAAAAAAAAAAAAACTATCTAAACTAAAAAACCTAAAACTAGTAAATAAAAATTAATAAATACTATACAGACATAATAATAAAAAAAAAAGACAAAGCACGTAAAATTACAAAAATATGAAAACAAAATAAAAAATGGAATCTAATTGAAAACATTAAAAAATGATCAATGATACTAAAATAATATTAACAGAAAGTTTTAGATTCTGAAAAAAAAACTTCAGGGATTTTTTCATTTGAGAAATTTGGGAATTTTTACATTTAAATTTTTTTATTTCTTTTTTTATTATTATTATTAAAAAAAATATATTTTTAAATTATTTTTCTTTTAGAGGTAGAGTTTGAATTATTCCATAATCATTATTTTTATATTTTCAGCTGGATTAACTAAAACCCAAAACCATAAAAATATATAAATTATGAAAAAACAAATCATTAACTGAAATAATATATATTGAACTTGTTGTTTTCAGCAACGTGTTTCATTTGAATTTAGTTGAAGTGGAAGTACTAAAATAGCTCAAACTAAATAAACTAAAACTGAAAGTTAATATAGACGTTTAAAAATATTAAAATGGCAAAACAAAAAACAACAAAATTACAAACTAAAAAAATTCTAAATATTAACAAAAACTATAATAGTTTAGTTTAATTTTAGTTTAAGTTTTAGTCATTTTGTTATGTGCTTTTGTATTTTTATTAGTTTTTGTTTACAATTTTATTTTCTATTTAGCTTAAATTTATTTTAATTTCAGTTTTAATCATTTCTACTTCAGCTACTTCAGTTAGTTACCAAAGCAAATTTGTATTCCTCGTTTAGCTTTTTTTAAGTTTTTCATTTAATATTTACATTTTACTTTATTTCAATTACTGGAATTTTTTTTGTAGTAGTTTTACTCTTAGTTAACAATAACAACACTGGTTTGAAAAGCAAGAGAATTCATCAAAAGTCTCCATTTGTGCTCCAGTGCTGTCTAGGAGAAACTGTTGTGATATAAATGAGATCTGATTTGAGATGTTGAGGTCACTGATGTGTTTGTACCTTTCTCCGTGTCGTCAGACAGTGACCCGAGGATCATGCTGCGCGGCCGAGCGGCGCTGGGGTCAGAGGTCACGGCGGACGGGCTGCGCAGGCTGTTGAACATCGGTGGAGCAGAGGGAGGCTGAAACAGAGAGCGTAATGTCAGAAGAAGCAGAAGAATGGAGATGTTCTGATGTGAGTTTGTACCTTTGGAGTTTTCTGAAGCACAGGGTTGTCGATGTGTGTCACCGGCTCCAGGATGTTAAACGGCACGAATCCCACTTCATTAAACTTGTTACGACACTTCCACCAGCGCTTAGATGACTCGATCACCTGGACCACAGACGAATAACAGGAAAATAAAGCTTATTTGCATTAATATAATACTTGGAGGTGTTACATGTGTGTGTTCTTATATATACATAATAAATATACACAGTACACATACATATTTTATGCAAACAAAAACTTTTATTTTGGATGCGATTAGTCATTTGACAGCACTAATATACATAGTATATATATATATATATATATCTGGGGGGATGGCATGCAAGAAATAAATATAAGAAATATATAATTAATATAAAATAAATTAGTGTGTGTATATATTTATCCCAAAAACATTTTTACAATGAAACCAAACATTTTTAGAATTAATATTAAAAGAAATGTATATTTTAGAATATCAATAAATATATATTAAGTGTTTATTTATTTTTGAAGATTTATTATTATTATTATTTTTATTAGTAGTAGTAGTATATTTTATTAAAATAACAATGTTGTCTCCAAAAATAAATAAATGCCCCCCCCCAAATATAATATAATATAATATAATATAAAATATAATAACTCCAATACAAATTAATACATTTCCAAAACAAATTAATACATGAATATATATTTTATTAATATCCTGAAATATTAATTTATTGTAATATTAATTCTAAAAATGTCTTATTTTGATAACTACTATAGATGAGCGTGTGTGTGTAACCTCTAGTGTCTCTCCTTGAAGTACAGACAGCTCACTGTTGTTCCGTGCAACAAAATCATAACTGCAGCGATATAAGCGCTCTTTAACTCCGCCATCACTGAGGACGAGAGACAGAGATGTTTTCTCAGATCGTACATTTGCATTACAAAATACTTCTTTAAAATGCAGTTACAAAATAACCAGCTTTGATTACTGAGATAAAGAGGACAGAAACTGTGGGTCGTTTAAGAAAAGACAGTGAGAGAATCACTGAACAAGCCTTTAACAGCACCGTTATCACAGCGATTACACTGTGAAACTACTGCTGGTGCTTAGTGAGAGTCGACACAATGAATGAACTTGTGTTAGTTAGTCTTTTGTTATTTGATAAATACTGAAAAACCATGGCTGAAACGGACACATCTGAAAGGATTGGATTGATTCTTCAGATGTGACTCACACTTACGGCTCGTCTGCAGTGTGACGGTCAGACGCGTGAGACGGAGTCAGCTGAGGGTGACAGAGACAGAAACACGTTAGCAAGAACATCACACAAGGACAGACAGGGAAAGCACATTTGTGGGATTTTTATTAGTGTGTTTGTCTACATGATGGGTTTAATTCTGTTTTAACAATATATTTTTCATCTAACTGTGTGGTTAGCCGAATTGTTTTTTTTTTTTTTTAAAGAAATGAATACTTTTATTCAGCAAGAATGCATTAAATTGATCAAAAGTGACAGTGACAAAGACAAATGTTGCAAATGATTTCTATTTCAAATAAATGCTGTTTTTTGAGCTTTCTGTTCATCTGTGAATCCTGAAAAATAAAATACATCACCGTTTTCACAAAAATATGAAGTTGCACAACTGTTTTCAACATTGATAATAATCAGAAATGTTTCTCGAGCAGCAAATCAGCATCTTAGAATGATTTCTGAAGATCATGTGACGCTGAAGACTGGAGTAATGATGCTGAAAATTCAGCTGCGCATCACAGGAATAAATTACATTTTAAAATATATTAAACTTATACTTTAAATTGCAATAATATTTCACAATTTTTCCTGTATTTTTGATTAAATAGATGCATCCTTGGTGAGTACGAGACTTGTTTCCTCCTTACCCAAACTTTTGAACACTAGTGTACATTATTAGATCATTTTACCTCTACTTTTGAGAGCTCAGCGTCTTGTCTGTGTTCTAACTCCACAGGATCGACCCATCCGGCGGTATCGGACCCCGGCGGTCTCCATCCGTCCTGAAACACGAGTGTGTACGGCGCCACGGGACTTCGCAGAGCAGATCTACATGAAGGTAACAAGCCATCAGCATGTGCACATATTAAAGTAACACATCTCCAAAAAATATAGTTCTGCACCATGTACCTATGTTGTGTCCAGTTGGGCCCTAAAGAGATCCACAATGCATTGTCCTGTGCCGTCAGGTTGTTCTGTAGCAGAGTCACGGCTCCTTGTGTCATAGCCGGGCTGGACACGGACGCAGCGAAACCAGGACCTCCTGTAGCCTTCACCATCTACAAACACACGCAGATACAGGTGAATTATTTGAGTGCTCTTTACTGCTCAATAGACGTATGAGACCTTTCTCCGCACAAGAGTGTGCAAACATTTGATGAAACACTCGAAACAATGCAGCGCAACAAAGGCCTTAAAAGCTCTGCTGTTTGCACAGGAGAAATATGAGCAGACATATAAATGCACACGCATTTACCATTTCGAGCGGTTTGAAGATGTGATGCACGAGCTCCTCTGAGGTCGGATTGGAGATGGCAAATTTTAACCGTGCCTGTAAAACAAACAATACGCTTATGGAAACCTGAGAGAAAATATATGACGCCACACTGCTTAATAGTTCATGAAGAGTATTATAGTATTAGTAATAGCAATAATTGATATTAACAATTTTAATATCAATGAATAACTATATAATATAATATTAGTTATTACAATAAGATATTAGTCAATATGATAAAATAATATAATTTAAAAAAAGTTTTTTTTAACTTCTCAAGTCACTTATAAGATATAAGATATAATAAGACATTTTACACACACACACATTTATATATATATATATGTCATTTGCATTAAAAAATTATGCATTTTTGTATTATATTATGTATTTAATAGTATTATTTATTATTAGTATTATTAATAGTATAGTATTATAGTGTTTACAATTATATACATACATACATAAATTCTTTATATTATTGTATATTTTGGTGATGTAAGCAATTTTATATAAAACATGCTTGATGTAAAAAAACTAATCATAATAAATAAATCATATTTATAATAAATAATATATAAAATAAAAATTTCTGGCAAATAATTAAATACTAAATATAATCTTCTTAAATATAATTAAACTATAAATAATTTTATTATTATTATTATTGTGCATAATTAAAATATTAAACAATTATTAAATATCAAATTAATAAGCTATCCTTTAAAACATCATTAGGTCTTGTTTTAACTACTGTTAACTAACAATGAGCAATACATTTGTTAAAGTATTTATTAATCTTTGTTAACGCTAATCAATAAAAATACAACTGTTCATTGTTAGTTCATGTTAGGCCCAGATATAACTTTGGATTTTAATAATGTATTAGTAAATGTTGCAATTATTATGAATTGTGATTAATCAATGCTTTTCATAGTTAGTTCATGTTAACTAATATAGTTTGAACAACTGGAAGCTTATCGTATAGCGTTACCCATAATTAAAATATTTTTTATAAATTTACATATTTGCATTGATATTCATGACTCACCAACAGACTGAAGCTGTATTTGAATTTCTGAAAAGCGTCGAGAAACTCTTTCTCAGAAGGCGGTTTGGCTTTAGCCGTGAGAAGATCCTCTATAAAACACAAACACACAACAAACTCTCTAAAACACTGATCATGTGTGCAGTTAACAAGATATAATGAAACCTGTAAGTGAAGATTTCCAGGTGCATTGTGTTCTTGGAACAAATGCAGGCTTGTTTTAGTGTGTGTTTAAGGTGATGCAGGTGTGATATTATTTTAATTGAGAGTATGTTAGTATTGAGTACACACAGGGTGGAGACTGCTGACGGCCTCGTAACACAACACTTTCCCATCAGCTGATGTCCTGATAGGAACTGCAGATAACAGGCTCCATCTGTTGATAGGAGCTCACTGTGCTCTTTACAGAGCGTTCAGTTCAGCTGCATTTCAGAGCTTCGCTTTCTATTTTATTAAGCGTTCAGGTTTGTTTTTTCCTACAGGTAGACTCATACCGTCTGCACTTTTCTTCTGGCTTTTCTTCTTCTTTTTGCTTCTTTGGTCGAGGATAATCTGAGCCTCTACTGACTGCTGCAGCTTTCCGATGAATGATTCGATATCATCAAAACAATGATTTAGCAAGTCCTAGAAATAGAGAGAAACCAGGCGGTTAGTAATAAAAATACATGCAGAGATCTTTGATTTGGGTCTTTTTTAACTCTGTTGTTAATGTAAACAGGCATGTCAATGCGGCGTTATAGGTCATGCTAATGGTCAAACTGAAGGTCAACTAGAGCGCGAGAAGACAACAGTCTCATAAAGATCCACTAACTGAACAAAACAAGCTAATTCAGCTGTGCTTGGGGACAAAATGGGTGAAAAATGTTCCCAGATGTTAGTCAGATACAACAAAAACTCCTTTTGGGGACATTTGCAAAGTTAAACATGATTTCTAAAGTAAACAAAGTTTTTTTTAATTATAAAAATTTGAATTATATATGTCCATAATATGTAAAAATCATACATACTACTGGTCACTACAAGTCAAAAGTTTGAAATAATTAAGATTTTATATTTTTTTGAATTTTTTTTAAGTCTCCTATGCTCACCGAGGCTGCATTTATTTGAGGAAAAATACAGTAAAAATATTGCGACATATTATTAGAATTTAAAATAACTGATAATCCTTCAGAAATCATTCTAATATGCTGCTTTGCTGCTCAAGAAACATTTCTGATTATTATCAATGTTGAAACCAGTTGTGCTGCTTCATATTTTTGTGGAAAACTTGATATACTACCATTCAAAAGTTAAGATAATATAAATATTAAGCAGAAAAAGCTGTTTTCATCTTTGATAATAATAAGAACCATTATTAATAATTGATTATCAATGATAAATGGTATGATTGAGCACCAATTAAGCATGATAGAATGAATTTTTACTGTAATTTTGATCAAATACGTGCTGCCTATATACAGTATATACAATAGTTTTCTGTATTTAAATCCTGTATTTGTTTATATGTACTCACCACTTCCATCTGAGCCCTAAGGAATGACTTATCAGGTTGACCGTTTACCAGTCCATTAGCTAGAATTGAGGAAGAGTGTGTTAATCTGTGCCTGTTTATAATCAGTATTGATAGGTATTGATTGACACACACCTCTGATGCCCGGATAGGGTGGAGGAGGGATGGGTGAGGGTGGATTTGGGGCTTGGGTGTACGGCGGACTCGGGATTCCCGAAATATCCATACTGGACTCAGAGAACCTGAAACACACACATTGACATGACAACACTCCCTTTATTCAGAATGACAGTGCGTGTTCTGCTGGACAATGAGCAGATCTGCAGTATTTCAGTCGGGTTTGATGTGCGTCACGGTGTTTTAAACAAAATGTGATTTAATTGCCGGCACACAATGCTAATGAATCACTAACAAACACATCAAACAACTTTAAGTTGCATAACTAAAGAAAAAACGCCCATATGAGCACACACATGGAAAAAAGAGCAAGATATTATCTTCCAAATAAAGACTTGGACAAGAATAAAAACACCCTTTTTGAATCAAGTTCATTTACTTAGCTATGAAAATGAGTCAAAGTCAAATTTATTTAAACACTATAAAGTCGAGCGAAGGCCTGTACATTAAATGACACGCAATTTTTTTAATATGAAAATAATTATATTAATTACACAGTAACCCAAACCCTAAAAGAAAACAGTATTTTTTAGAACGAAAAAACATTATTGAATTTATTTATGAATATTTTCATCTGTAACGACATTGCTAAAGGGAACTTTGGTCAGATTTTGCTCACTTTTAGCAATAATTCTGTCCACAAAGTCTTAGTTAACCAAATATGCTCATTCATAAGAAAATCTAACCATCCTAGAAAACACATTTGGCATTCAGTTTGACATTGAGATGCCTTGAGGTTAGTTCAGCGTGTCTCCTGCTCTACACACACACACACACACACACACACACACACACACACACACACACACACACAGACAGAGTTTCAGTCATATGTAACTGATAAGCACATACAGCAGATAAAGATAACACACTGTACCTTACTTGTGTCCTGCTCGTCTTGTAAGTGTTTATTCCTAAAGAACGGCCGAGGTCGAATGAATCTTTCCCTCTGCAAATCTGCCTCTCTCTCCCTCCCTCCCTGTACTCTTAGTCACGCCTTCCTAAGTTATGAGAAACTGGTTCAGCCTGTTTGTGTTCTTGCTAATAGGTTCTATTTCTCGAGGTTGTGGGCACACAGTGGAAATCACAACATGACCTGACTGTTAAGATCAGTACCTGTTTGCTCTTATTGTGTAATGCGACACAACTTGCTTGATGTCATCTCTTATGTGCTCTGCCTGAAATACACAAACAGGTAGAGAATGATGTCATCAAAGAGGCGGGGCTCTGGTTGGACAATCACAACAGTATCATCTGAATCTGAATCAGGAATTAACAGTGATTGCTGCAATGAAACTCATCTCACTTTGACAGATGTGTAGCTGAAGAAACACATGCTTGGCCTCTTCTGGGTGCAGCTCTGAGTTTATGCAGTCGCAGCGTAGAAGAGAGAACACAGCAAACTCCTCCAATTCCTCATTAATGGTCAGTTGTGGAACAATCAACAAATCGATCATTAGTCGCAATTTAATATGCATTCATAAAATAAATATTCTGTACAGTGTACAGTGCTTTGCAAAGATATGGTGATACAAAATGTATTTGAGTGACATTTGAAACTTGTGTGAATTTTGTTGCATTAGATCAAGTGTCCGTATGTGTGTCTCAAATGCTGCAGGATCTTTTCTCTCTTGAAGTCTCAAAGTCTTTTAATCAGCTAGTGTTTAACATTTTACATTCATGCACTTGGCAGATGCTTATATCCAAAGTGGCTCATATGGCATTGCATTGCATTCAAGTTAAAGGGATAGTTCACCCAAAAATAAACATTTGCTGAAAACAATATGCAGTGAATGGGTGCCGTCAGAATGAGAGTCTAAACAGCTGATAAAAAAATACAAAAATCCACACCACTCCAGTCCATCAATTAATTTTTTGCTTCTTGTGAAGCAAAAAAAAGCTGCATGTTTGTAAGAAACAAATGCATCATTAAGATGTTTTTAACTTTAAACCGCTGCTTCTGGCTAAAATACCATAGTCCATATACCATAATAATTTTTTGTTCAGTGAAAAAAATCCACCAACATATTTGTTTAGAACTGTTTTGGACTGATTTCGCCTGTAAACGGTGCTTGATCTGTGCAGATTTCTCTCCTGATTCAGACGAGACGACTTTTTCCACTGGAGGAAGCGTTATTATGGATTATGTATTCCTATTTCAGCCAATAAGCAGTGGTTTGAAGTTAAAAATGTCTTAATGATGAATTTTTTTTCTCTACAAACCTGCAGATTTTTGCTTCACAAGACATTAACTGATGGACTGGAGAGGTGTGGCTTACTTGTGGATTATTGTGATGTTTTTAATCAGCTGTTTGGACTCTCATTCTGACGGCACCCATTCACTGCAGAGCATCCATTGCTGAGCAAGTGATGCAATGCTACATTTTTCCAAATCTGATGAAGAAACAAACTCATCTTCATCTTGGATGGCCTGAGTGTGAGTACATTTTCAGCATATAAAATTTTGGGGTGAATTATTCCTTTAATACATATTATTTGTTGCATATGATAAATGCATGCATTGCTAAAACCGTAAAGATTTTTGAAGCATGCTAGTTTCTGTCTTTGTTTTTGTTTTTTTCCCCATTAGTCCATCTGTTTTAATAGTAGTACATGTAGTCGCTCTATTCTCCGTTGTATTCTTACCTGGTTGTTTCTGTCTCTCAGGCTGACTTTGTTAGTACGGACCTCTAAAATCACCTCAGCACTGGACAGCCGATAAAAATCAATGAGAAGTGGAATCCGTGAAAGAGCCTCTTCAACAGTATCCACACCCTCATCTCCCAAAGAAAAACTCACCAGCCTCTGGATAAAAAAACAGAGAAAACAAAAAATGAGCATCACAGATATCAGGCTGTAAAAAATATAAACACAAAACATGACAATGCACACAAAGTTATCAGGAGCATGCATGAATTACCTCTTCAGCTGCCTTTTCTACATTTATCCTAGTTAGGATAAATATAGATATAGATAATTAACTGATTAATAATTAACCTTCCCAGAACTCTACAAATTTAGTTATTTACTGATTAATAATTAACCTTCCCAGAACTCTCCAAATGTAGTTATTTACATGAAATTAGCTAATTTTAATTTAAAAAACAGCACTCATTTTACTACTGTAATGTGACATATTTCTGACCAAAACGGTATATTTAATGAGGAAAAGTTGTGTGCTGATCTTGAGTGCTTGTGAATTGGTATGACTCTACATACCAGCTACACACACCTCATCACACCTTGTTTCTCCTACAGAACTATTAGATACTTACTGTCCTTATGCCCATATAATAGACTCCACTTCCTGTACATGTAAGAACAATCTCCCAAACTACAGGCGTAGACTGATAATTCACTTCTTGCACTGGCTTGTTTATTCCTATTAGGTAGCACATATTTTTATTGGTTTATATATTACATTTTGGCCAGCATAACAACTCTCTGAAGTGCATGTTTCTAGGGCGTAGGTTTGATTTTGACATTGGTGAGACATAACAGCAGACAACACTCCCTCCCCATCCAACTAGCCCAACATTCACATTTATGACAGACTTTTAACCACGTTTCATGTCATCTAAAGTCTTTATTTATAGGTGGCTAACATACTCATAATTCATAAAGAGAGCTTTTTTATATTAATCAGACAATAATAACACAATTTTGATTATGTAAAACCAACATTACAGCAGCAGTTTTAAAGATGTTTTGATTGTTTGACTACTCAAAAGAGAATACAGCAAAATATAACTTAATTAATTTGTGTTCCCTGCTAGCTAAATTTCACATACATAAACAAGAATCTGGCTCTAACCCTCTCATTTCTTCATTCAGAGTTGATCTCGACAAGTACAAGGCAACTATCCAAAGCTCTGCTAATCCTAAAGCAATCAAAACTGTATTCTGAAGTCTCGATCTGAAACAAATGATTCACGATATGCGATCCAATTGGAGCGTTTTGAAACAGTGAACCATTTTGCAACGCAATGGTTTAACTGATTCAGAGTTTTGAAAAACTCTGTTTCAAGGACATATTTTTTAGTGCATTTACTTTAACTTCTCAGGTTTTATCAATGGTATAACCTATTTCAGATGCAGCCAAAATGACAACAACAGTGGTTACATATACATATATTTAATTGTTTGATCAAAACTATTGCTAGGGACGATTTAGTAGTAGCTGGATATATTGACAGGGACATGTCCCTAGCATCCCTACTAAATTCTTTGCCCTTAGCATGTTTGATATTTTTTTTACCTCAATCTGGATAAGAGCAACTGCTAAATGATCTAGTAGTAAGTGGGGTGGTTTAAGTTCTCTTTGCTAAGTTACTATTACTGTTGATCATACTTTAAATTAGTGATTTGAACAAACCATTAAAGAAATAGTTCACCCAAAAATGAATATTTACTGAAAATGTACTCATCCTCAGGCCATCCAAGATGTATACAAGTTTGTTTCTTCATCAGAACAGATTTGGAGAAATTTAGCATTACATCATTTGCTCACCAATGGATCCTCTGCAGTGAATGGGTGCCGTCAGAATGAGAAGCCAAACAGCTGATAAAAAGTAATCCACACCACTCCAGTCCATCAGTTAACATCTTGTGAAGCCAAAAGCTGCAGGTTTGTAAGAAACAAATCCATCATTAAAGCTCTTTTAACTTAAAACTGTTGCTTTTGGCTGAATTCCATAATGCATAATAATGCTTTCTTCAGTGAAAAAGTCCATCTACTGTTGACCTCTGACATCAAAATCCGCCAACAATATTTGTTTAGAACTGTTTTGGACTGTTTTTGTTTGTAAACGGTGCTTGATCTGTACATATTTATCTCCTAAATCAGACAAGTGACAGGATTCTGGACTGTCTGTGTCGTGTTTAGCCCCTGTTTCTGTTCCTGTTTGTCCTTATTTGGTCATGTTCCTGTCCTCGTTAAGTTTGATTATTAGTTGATTCCCCGCACCTGCCTATCCCTCATCAACTCTAGTATATAATGTGTAGTCTGCCTCATGTTTCTTTGTCGGGTCTACTAAGTTGTGTTCGTGTGTCGCTCCTTGTTCCTGAGTTGGATTTACCCGTGTCTGGGATTTAATAAAGACTGTTTCGTGTATTCCACGGCTCCGTGTTCCTTCCGGCAGCGATCGTGACAGAAGACCCGACCAAGACAGTTACCTCCGTGTGCCCCCTCCGTTTTTGTTTCTCGTTTTACCCAGTGTCTTTTTGTTTCTGTTGTTTTCTCCCCATGGATCCCCTTGCTGGTGGAGCAGGGGGAGTGTTCGCTCGAGGACCATACCAGACTGTTTCTGGTCCTCGCCGAACTCACCACCTACTCGGATGACGCGCTCTGCATGTTCTATGACGCCAGCCTGAACCCCGTGTGCAGAGCGCGGTCGTCCGAAGATGGTCATCGAGTGGATCTCGCCGCCGGATTCTGGCGGGAAACGGATCCACTCCTGACCCAGTAACCAGCCCACCGTTGCCGCATGGAGCGACAGAGCAACGGATTGACCCCGCGTGCAGAGCACCGTCGTCCGAAGATGGTCTTCGAGCGGATCTCGCCGAGTACCTCCTCCGCATGGAGCGACAGAGCAATGAATCGCTGCGGAGCCGAAGCTGCAAATGACGTCAGTCAAGGTGCGAGAGCCGGCAACAGAGCCCGCCACCAGGGAGAATGCCACGGACAGAGAGAGTGCGGAGTGGAGCTCCGCCCACTGCACACCGCGGCCTTTCGGATCCACGCCTCCACGTCAGTCGCCGGTGCCATCTGCTCCGCCTTGGCCCTCTGGATCCTCCCCGTCGCCCTGGCTCTTCGGCTCTCCGCCTCGGGCTCCTCCGCCACCTGCTCCGCCGCCGTTGCTCGGCCACCTGGAGTCGGCGGCCATTTCTCCTCCATGGCTCCTCCCTCAGTCGGCCTCACCATGGGCCGCCATCATGGCTGTGGCCTGGGTCCTGCTTGGCCCTTCCTGCTC